AGAATTGTTTACTCCCTGAAAATAACATTAATTATTTAGAAATATTCAGTGTGATTCCCAAAAGGCCCCATTTCCTGTTTACATATGGATGTTAAGGAAAAATAAAATGATTCGACTTCATTTCGACGGCCAAACTTTTTGCACAGTATCGTCCGTGTGCAGGCACAGAGGGGGTGACACAACATCCCTGTTCTGAGAAGTTTGCTGAAACTTTGTTCAGCATTGTTAATGATTGCCTACAGTGTGGCATCTGCTCTCTGTTGCGCACACACACACACACACACACACACACACACACACACACACACAGGCAGACTTTGTATTCAAGGGCCCTTTGCTGCTGATGCCCTGCCCAGGAATGTACAGCTGAACCTGCTCTCACATACAGTCCAGCTGATCCAACAGACACATATGTGCGCACAGACACACACACATACTATAAACAATTGAGCATGCCCAGCTATGCCTCTGATGAAGACTCTGAGCAATGCTATCACTTTAACCATGATGGGAGGAAATTGATTTCCTCTCCCACGCTTCAAACACAGCTAACTGGGTCAGAGGTAAAAGTAAAAACAGAAAGCAAGGCGAAGGGGGGCTTTGAAAATGAAAGAACTTGAGAAAACTGATGAGACAACACAACACAACAACAACAACAACAACAACAAAATGCTCATCTATTACAGTCCTCCTAAAAGGGAAAGTTCAAAAGAAAGTGCAGCACTAGGTAAGTTTACAGCTCAGGATGGGGCTGGGGGGATGCCACTAATGTTTACATCCTGTCACACTGTCACAAGCACAAGTTCCTCATCAGGGACACATGCACACTACTTTCTGTGCGATGACACACTTGCTGGTGGTAATTCGATGAAAATAAAACAGTTCCCACATGAAAGCGCTCACAATAAAGTCTGCTGATATTTGTTTTCATGTCTTTGCATAACCAGGTCATGACTTCTGGAGAAAGAATCTGTGCATCACCTCTACAGCTGATATCTCCGAAACTGGGCACTTCGCACCAAAGAAATCAAACTGGAATAACAATACTTCAGGCCATATTTTATTTTCTGAGTCACATTTTATCCTTTCACCATAATCAGCCAGTTTCATTTTAACTCCTAATGTGCAAGTCAGTGATGAAGCACCACATAAGCTGAAATGATAACTTTTAGCAGTGTAAACAAATGTCTGCTTTGTGATTAATTTCACAATCAACTGCATTAAACTCCTTTAGCTACAGTTCCAAAGAGAGGTATATCTTTGAGATTTCACCGCCACAGAGGAAGGCATGAATTTTATTTTCTGGGTTTGTTTGGAGCAAGCAGGAAAAAAATGTGACAGTTTGCACCAACTGTGAAAAACTTGAAACTGCAAAGAGACTAAAAGGCGAGGCTTGGTGAGGCGAGGCATCGACTCGGGTCTACAAGACCTCTCCACTACAGTTCCAACCGCATAAGTACAGTGCAGAGAAAACCACAGCAACAGGGTACATGAAGGTATGTGAACTTCTCAGCAAACTGACTTTGACCTCAAAAGATCACCTGCCAGTTGCACTGCTGCTTGCAACTTACAAAAAAAAGAAGAAAAAGGAAGAACTATACCTTTTTTGGTAGGGGGGGTACCCTAACAGAGAGACTTCTACTGCTCTGATGTTTGGTTTTAAACATTGTAGCATGTGGCATCTGTAAATACAGGTAGATGCTAATGAAAAACGGTAATTAAAGTACAAACCCTTCAAAAGCATTGCCGTTCCAGTTCCACACTGGCTGCAAAAGTCCTGCAGATTTACTGGATTTGGCAGAAAAAGTGCGTGAGAGCCAAGCTGTTGTACATGTGCTTTTAAAAGAGTCATCGAAACGTGGCACAAGTCATAAAAGTCATTCTCTGTTTAATGGATTCACTCGAGGCTAATTATAATCAGGCAAGGGAGCGGCCGTGACAACACCTTGCTTGGTTTCTTGCAGGCTGAAAGGATCTAATAACTGTTAAAAATGCAGAGATTACACAGAGTCTGAGTTTTGTTTTTAAAAACTGGTCTTTTTCAGTCACAAGGCTTCAGACAGATCTATTGGTCTCCACTTTCAGGTAAAAGCAAATCAGTCAAGCTGTTTCCCCTGGAGACAAAAGCACTTTTGACCGTTCATACAATTTTTGTTGTTTTTTTATTTAAACAAAGCTGGTCGTGCAGGAATTTATAGTGAAGCTCCATCACGCAAAAGACGGGAAGAGGTGATGCTATAAAATCAAATGTTCTTGCTGTTCACTAAAGAAATGCTGAACTTTAAAAACAGGCAAGAACAAGCCTGTAAAGTTAGATAGAGGCCTCAAACATCCTTCCCATTTAAGGGTATAGTCAACCGGCTAGAAACACTGAGATCATTTCAACTTCCACATCAGCTCCACCGCTCAGAGAAATGTTTGTATAACTACACTTCCCCCTAGCTGCCTTACTCACCCTTCATTTGGCATAAACAGCAGTTATTCTCATTTTTAGAGTCTGCTGATCATTCTAAGAATAAGAGGAAATGCATGCATTGTATGCATATGAGAGATGCAGAGTTTTTTGTGTAGGGGAGGGTATTTGCATAGTACATACAGTACGTGCTCTATTATCATGAATGCTAGATGCATCGCAGGCCTCACAGAGAAGCACTAGGTGCATAGGTAAGGTTGGCCATTACCTATAGCTGTTAAAGGACTGTAGAAAAAAGATAGCTTTAAACTAACTCATACATGTGTACAGGGTCTCTTACGCTGCAGAACTTCCGTATGTTCTCTCTATGCCTGTTTGGGTTCTGTCCGGCTACTCCAGCTTCCTCCCACAATCCAAATCAAAGTGTATGTTTGATGAATGGAGTGTGAATGGTTGTCTGCCTCTCTGTGTGTGACCTGCCCAGCCCTTACCCTGCCTCTAGTCCCATGGCAGCACCGCTCCTCGATTTGGATAAGCAGAAGAAATTGGATTCTACATCAAACAATCCACTACGTTCTCGTCCATCACATAACGAAACGTTTGCATGTGCTTTGATGGAAACTTTGTACCGGTAGGTGTCTAAGACTGACATCTCTTGACGGCCAATATTGCCACTGTCAACAAATCAAAGTCTGAATCAGGAGGTTGGAGGATGGAGTTCTATCAGCACCAAGACTGGGGTTCACATCCCATTTGGCACTTCTTCTGTTTTTCAATTTTCCATAGGGGACTTTGACATATTCAAATATTCCCTCCATCCAGCTTCTGTTTATTCAGTTCAACACATAGAGACAGACAACCATTCACACCTATGGGCAATCATCACAAGAATCCCCAGTTAACCTGACCTAACATTCTACTACAAATGATCGGAAACGCACTAAGAAGCTGTTTGTCAGCTACCATTAAACACAAAGGAGAACACTACTCACTGCTGGGTGTTGGACCTGTAAACTGAGTGCGCCCCAGCTCCTATTACAAAAACTGCAGAAATATGCAAAGTGAATGGATTAACTGTGCAAACACCACAATGTAAAGGTAGCATCTCGCAGTCAATTTAAAGCAGATCTGATGGGTGGCAACGTCTGGAGAATAGCCAAATACTTCCAAGTAAAGGAGGATTTTCAGGCTAAAATATGTATCCCTTCTCTTCACTTTTGCTTTCACCCTGTAGTTAAGCTTAAGCACAGAAATTGAATATTAACCCTGCAGACTTCACCCCAAAAGTGGATTTAGTTTTTTGTTTTGTTTGTTTTTTAGATTGCAGTGTTTTATGAAACGAAGTGAAATACAGTCCACTTTAGGTGCATGCCTAAGCCAAAAAAAGGGGGGCGACACAACTGGCTTCATGCCTTTGTGTGTGCACATAAGCTAAAAAGTGTCTACTTCACAACTTCCTATTACATAGTAAATAATCTGTTCCAGATGGTTGCGAGCCTTCATAATAACTGTCATTTAATCAATGAACCAATCATCTCCTGGATGACTTCTTCTGGTTTCCGTCATTGCAAATTCAACATCGTCCAGCACTGAAAAACAACAGCTGTATTTCACACAGTCCTCCACCTGCCACCCCCCACCCTCTCCACGCTAACACGGGATGTGATGTCATAGGCGTTTCACTACACATAAGCTGAAATTGAATTGATGAACTGATGCCAGTGTGTGATCTGGCATCTGCTGCACTGTACGCTGCATGTCACCATTGGTCGGTCATGCAGATCCAAAGATCAAAGTTCACTGCTTTATCAGGAAACCTGAAAGTGCTGCACCAAACTGTGGCTGGGGCTTCATCACCTATCTACCCAGCCGGCCATCAAACAAACAAACAAACAGATCTGAAGCTGCAGTGATGATATACTCCACACGCCAAGTTTCATTTAGTTTCGACCAGCACCGCCATCCTGACTGACACTCAAAACGAACGCCGCTGAAGCGCAGAGGGTAACATCTCGGCAGCAGGAGCCCGGTGCAGAGTTAAGCTGGAGGCAGTGCACCTGGCTGCTTTCCCAGAGTTGTGTTTGAAAAGAGGCTGCTGGCCCTTTAAAAGCTAAGATGGTGTCCTGCAAGCTGCATTTGCTGCCTTCCGTTTCCTTCCTGCCTTTCAGAGATCACAGAGCATTCAAAATTGAACCTGAACTAACCTGGCGCACAGAGGGAAAGCCAGATACACAGGACACACACAAACACACACACAAGGAGGATTTTGTTTTCCTTTTTCTGCATTAGAATTAGAGGACTCTCGGAATGATGTTATTGCAATGCAATGAGGTCGCTGTTACAAAACTCTTCCACTAATTTGCAAAATAAACTGCCTGCAAGGACACACTTGTGACTGTTATAGAAGCACAGGCTATATTCGCTCACTGACAGTCATATTTTTGGCTGATGTTGGGTTGACAATGTCAACTCTGCTTGTGTACAGGCAGATCACCCACACAGGTAGATGTTTCTTCTTCTTTTTCTTCTTCTTATTTTTTTTTAAATTCCTCCACTGACCAGGGCAAAGCCAATAACGTGCACTTACTTTCTTGTTACGGGTCTCCGTGTGCATCTCGGTTGCCGGAGCGGTGCAGCGGCGGAGGGGTGGAGCAGCAGGAGCAGGAGGGGGTCGGTCGGGGCTTTGGGTGTAGCTCTATCTGAATCAGAACTGTCAGGGAGAGAGAGGAGGGCTTTTTGGGGGGTGCTAGTTTTCCACCTTTACAGTCAAATATTTCGGGATATAGGAACACGATCCCTGCCTCTTCCAGTGTTTCTTTTCAGTTCATATCCGCGGCGTCGAAGGCTCCCTGTGCTTTTACCCCCCCAAAAAACAAAAAAAAAAACAGCCAGTCTCTCTGTGTCTCTCCCTCTCTCTCTCTGTCGGCGTGTTGTTGCCGTGTATTCAAGGGCTGGGCTCTCTCTCTCTGCCTTTTCCTCCTCCGCCTCTCCCTGCTTGTGACCCCACCCTGCGTCCCCACCCCTCATCTCTCTGTCAGTCAGGAGCTGCGCAGCCCTGCAGCCCTGCAGAGGAGCGGGGCCGCTCTGCCGGCTACCCGACACCGGCAGCGGGCGGGCGGGCAGTGCAAGAGGAGCTGCTGCAGAAGCACCAGCGCACAAATGCAAAGAGAGAGGCGTGGAGGTGTGGGGGGCTTTAATTGCATCTACCAGCACTGCTCTCCACATTACCTCCTCTCCCATGCACCAATGCTGTGCTGCAGCAGCTTATTGCCCACGGATGATGATGAAGAGAAACACCCATGTCACCTTACTGACGTCACCCAGCAAGCTAATTGAGGACACTTAAGCTGGGCGGGGAGGGCGGGGGCGTTAGGAAATGTATCGAGGCTTTGCAGCATTCGGTTTGATAAATGTGACACCGTGCACAGCCAAGATGGAAGGAGGAGAGGCACAGCCAGTTCGGGTGAAAGATGTAGTCATAACCACACCCTCGGTAATAGAGAGGGGTGTGGCAAGTGCGAGGGCGTTATTATTATTTTTTTATTTTCTTTTTCTTCAATAGGGATTTTGCACAAAGGAAAAATGTAGTCTGCATGTCAAGACTGATGAGGATTTGCATATTGAGCGCAAAACGGAGCCAAATAATGCAGAGGAGATGTGCAGTGTGTAATGTGCAGTCTAAGAACCTCAGGCTTTTTAGTAATCCCGGTTTTGCATTAAAATTGTTCTTGCGGAGGGGGGGGGGGTTCTCCGCAAATACTCACAATTTGGGGTTAGGTTAATATCACACATAGGTGCGATACGCTGTCTTTATTAATTCCCACAACTGTAAACATGAAAACGGTGCCAACAGTTTAGTTTCTGTCGGACTACATTTCCCATGATTCCACACCGGAACTGACAATTCTGCCAGGAAACATGAGGAGGTAAACAAAACTTTCAGTTATCCTTGTTGTATGTTGCTCATTTCAAACATTTGTGCCACTTGAATCAAACACGTTGGGTTTTAGACCCCGGTCAACGACGCTGTAAGGAAAAAAAATAACAATGTAAATCCGTTACGTACCTTTTCCGTCTACCTCAGGATGTTGTCATGGAGATAGCAGCTAAACTCATGTAGCGTTAGCTCATCTGTCAGGCTAGCAGCTTTACAAACTACTTTTACATGTTTATTCAGCACTTCTGTAGATTACTGTTAAGCACGGACCGTCTCCCGTCTCGTGGGAGAGTCTTCCGTTACCTTCGATCTGGATAATGTTAAAAAATCTTTTTTTTAAATAACAGAAATACGTTAGCGTCATCTCCTGCACACCAAAAGCAAGGTGAGGTTGTATTTTGGCTTCCTCTGTAGGTGGGATAGCATTGGGCTTTTTCAGAGCAACCACTCATGTTGTATTCATACAAATGCACCGTGAACAAAAGCACAAATAAAGTATGATTATGTACCTTCTAAATTCAAAAACTGCTAAATATCTAAATAAAAATAAGCACAATAAAAGTTCTTTGCACTGGAGAAGCATGCCCTACATAGTTTACTAGTTAACGTGGGCTAATTTACCTGGGGCTGAAATCACGCTGTACAACAGTGCGGGGAAAAAGGTGTGCAACTGCTCCGAGGTCTGTTTTCTGTCGTTTGGTGGGTGTGTCAGGAGGGCTACCCAATGAGGAGTAACCAGGACGGACAGGATTAGTAATGCGTGTGTCACAGAGACAGGTCAGGTTGAGCAGCTTGGAGACATGGCATAGTCTGGACGTGAGCAGAGGAGGGATAGTGGATATAATGGACAAAGGATGATGAAGATGGAGCTTCCTGGCAGGGGGAAAATAAGATGACTGCAGAAAGAATTTATGGATGTAGTGAAGGAGGACATGCAGAGGGCCGACGTGACGGAGGAGGAATAGGATTAATATATGAGATAGAGGCTGTGGTGAAAGTGTTCAAATATTCCAAAAACCTACCTTCTGGTTCTTTTCCCATTCACATTACCTTACCCTGAACGTGTGTGCGTGTATTCTTCAGGTAATGTGATAGACATAGAGATGTTCACAAGTAGCAGATTTGTGTTACATCAGGGTCGTTCCGTCTCAAATCATCAGATTTTTAGATCATTTTCTGCTCGACCAGCTCCAATTAATTTGACATATATGTTGAGTTCTGTGAAATTTTAGCTTCAGTATTAAATACCTTCATAGATATTTATTTTTAAAGAGGCCTATCCATCCACTTCTTTTTGCACTTTTGCATTTGAGCGTGAATATCTCAAAAACTAAAGCCTGAAATTTTTTCTGGCCTTTCGTACTTAATACAGGATCTGCTTTATGGTGGATCGAAAATACAGTAAGGAGAGGTAACAGGAGCAGCAGTATATCAGATCATTTAAATGTGTGCAGGAGATGCAGAAGAGAGTGGAAAAACACAAACACCATAGTTTCCATTTAAATAAACATGTATAAATCCATGTTCACCGGGTGCAACATCCAAGCTAACGCGTATGTAAGTCTATACGTTTAATAGATGTCAAAAGGTCACTGTACAAGTAGACTTTGATGTTTCTTCACATCCAGCTGTTGTCTAAGGAGGTTGTAAAGAGAATGGCTGGACTTCTTTAAGTTTTGTGAAAACGTTTCACCTCTAATACAAGAGGCTTCTTCAAACTGTGGAGAGTCCCAGGTATATGAATCCTAGAGAGGGTTGTCCGTCAAGAGGGTTGTTGACCCACTATTAATCGTGTGCCTCATCACATGAGCCAAGGTGATACCACTGTAAAACTTTGCCTCACCCTATTATGTCACTTATTGAGGTCACCAGACGCAACATGTGAGTGGGGGTTGAGATGCCTGGGAAGGAATCTCAAGACTACATTGTAAGTTGTGGAACTGAAGTAGACATCTTCCCAAAACGTAAAGAAGTCCAGTCGCTTTCTTTCCAGGCTCCTTAGACTCCCATGACTTAGAGGAATGAGACATACACCCAGGTGTTGTTGAGATTCTGGCATCTAGAGATAAGGCATTTGTGGGAAGTAGGCAGAGCTGTTTGACAAACTGTAGGCTGTAGTGGGTGTTTTAGGCTACCTGGCTAAGGACGCTTAGTTTTGGGTGAAATAGACATTATAAATGATAGACACAGTGAAGTCAACTCAGACGTGCCTTAAACCTTTATTCTGTTTATTGCGCAATAGAACAAAAGACTTCCAGTCCTGTAGAAGTTAAGAGAAAACTGGCTTGTGCTCTCGTTCTCTTTGACCTCAGTGAACACTTTCCTGATGACCTGATGATTGGCTGAGTCACTAGTTTTGATCAATGTTTAATAGAATAATAAGATCTTTTTGTGAATTTTGGTCTTTCTAAGAGTCAGAAAGGATGAATGTCCAGTATGTGTTCGTAATTTAGTGAGGATGCAGTTTTTCCAAACGCGCCCTTAATCCTCACGCGTGGTCTCAAAACACCAAGACGTCGACAGCAAAAACACGCACCTCAAGGCTTCTGAACGAGACTTCACTAACCAATGGGTGATGTCATGTTTGCAACATAAATTGCATGTGGCTCATGCAAGCTATCTCCAGTCTATATTTAAGTCATAATTTTTGCCTGAAACTTCTTGAAGATGTTTTTTTGAGAAAAGAGTCTTATGTGTTATCCAATAATTCAGTACTACATCTTTAAAACAAATTTTATAGAATGAAATCTAATAATGATGCACCAGTGCTCAAATGAGCATCGATGGTAAGGAATATGTGTGCCCATGTTTGTCTCCTAGCTAAAAAATCAAGAAGATGATATGCCAGAGAATTGAACTGGCACTTTTACTCAAAGCAAAACAGTACTTTTTCATTCAAAATTGTAAGATTATTTCTTTAACCTTAAAACAAGTCCCACAGTCCTTCAGTGCTGCAGACAACCCCAGAGTCTGGGACAAGCAGTAGATATGACAGTGTGACCTCCTGCAGGGCATCTACATACATATATCAGTGCATATTGCAAAAACCTACTGCAAGCTTGCGTAATATTCTGTGTTTTGTGAAGATTTATAATTCCAAACTAATTCTGGCACTTGATAAAAGCATTTATAATGTAGGGATAGGCACTCCAAGACAGTATTTACTTTACAATAATTTACCAAGTAAATTGTTTAATGATTTGCTGAAAAAAGCAGGTATTTATTGGTAATAGAGGTAGGGATTTTTCAAAAACACAATGACAAAAAAACATATATGCGTCTGCTGTCGGCCAGATTCTCAATTTAATAAAAAAATACAAATTAGCATCAACAGTCTCTAATGTCCATATAATACAGCCATGTTTATTGAATTCACAAATCTGCAATGGCCTGGTATAATTGCTCATATTAGATCATTTAGATCATTTTTGTAGCAAAAATACCCATTATCGCTAATGTGAGGACTTTCTCTGATTCTCTGTGTTTGTATCTTCCTTCAGTACTGTGGGGTTTTCATCTCTTAGCAGTTGTAAGTAGAGCAGGGCGATATGACCAAAAATATTTATCACGACATACATTTGAAAATTTGCGATAACGATATAACTGACGATATAATTGACACTAGACAAATTTATATTTATATTATATTATAAGGGGCACTGTCGATTT